GATAGATAGATAGATAGATAGAAATACTTTATTAATCCCAATCTGGGAAATTGCATTGTTTCAGCAGCGGTTCACACTCAATATCAAGCACACATACCAATAAATAGAATAGATAACTAACTAAAAATATAAAAATATAAAACAAAATATAAAATACGTTAAAAAGTTAAAAACAAACCCAACACAATCACTGTCATTGCCCATGTGAGCGTTGAAATCCCCCAGTAGAACAATGGATTCCCCAGTCAGGGCACTTTCCAACACCCCTCCCACGGACTCCAAGAAGGCCGAGTACTCTGCACTGCCATTCAGCCCGTAGGCACAAATGACAGTGAGAGACCGATCCCCGGCCCGAAGGAGCAGGGAAACAACCCTCTCGTTCACCGGGGTAAACGCCAACACATGGCAGCTAAGCCGGGGGGCTATAAGCAAGCCCACACCAGCCCGCCGCCTCTCACCGTGAGCAACTCCAGATTAGTGGAGAGTCCAGCCTCTCTCGAGGAGTAAGGTTCCGGAGCTCAAGCTGTGTGTGGAAGTGAGCCCGACTATCTCTAGTCGGTACCTCTCAACCTCCCACACAAGCTCGGGCTCCTTTCCCACCAGCGAGGTGACATTCCGTGTCCCCAGAGCTAGTCTCCGTGTCCAGAGATTGGGTCGTTGAGGCCCCTGCCTTCAACCGCTGCCTGATCCACTGTGCACCAGCCCCCTACGAATCCTTCTGCAGGTGGTGGGCCCATTATTGGCCCAATAACACACTAACACAATAACTTACAAAGCATAGTTCAGTGTGATATTTTCAGCATACACAGAAAACAAACTCGTGCTGACATGACTGGCTTGAATAATTTAACCAAGCATGAGCAGTATAAAGAAAGTCTGTGAAGGAAAGTCCCTCGCGTATTGAAGAGATTTTACTAAGTAATATGCAATTTTGAAGTATCTGCTAATTAAAATTTTGAATAAATAAATATTTACACATTATAAATAAAACTTTTAACTAGTTAAATCAAATTATTCACCAGGAAGTTTTTCTCAATGTTTAAATTCCACAGTGGCATAACACTGGCCTCTGCTGGTATACTGCTGTAACGACGTCCTGCGATGACATCATTGCGTCCTCCGTTGCTAGGTTATATTTTCAGGGAATGGACAGCCCACAGCAGGGTGATTTAATGGTTTTGAGATGTTTTAATACACATATTTTCTTCTTATAAAGTCGCCTAGTAGGGTTATTGCATATACATGTAATTACGTTTCACTAACAAAAACCTTTATTGTGAAGAGCAGTTTGCCCGTGGAGGGTGTTTCGTCACTGTTTCCAGCTTCACGACGCCTGGATCAATAAATGTAGTTTGTTAGCAAGAAACCCGCTAACGTGGAGGACAAGCTTTGTCGCCAGCCGGGGATAAAAGTGATGCTAACAAACTGGACGCTGTGCTTTTCTGTGAGTTTAGATAATGGCAGTCTGATGAGATTGCATAACTGACGATGTGATGTCCGCCCAGCCTCTGCAGCAGTCCGGGGAAGATCCAGCAGTCTGCTAGCTCAAACAGCCCGGCTAGCCGATGCTGATGACTGGCTGTTTTCTGACATCGATTTGCAGGTAGTCTGACCACATAGAAATCACAGTGGCAATGCAAATTGCTTTGGTGCACAAAAACAGCATGCATTTTTTTCGTTTTCTTTGTACATTGTACTATACTGAGTTGTATCTGCTTTGTTTTCTATCGGTTTACCTGTTGTTTTTACTCCACCCTAGTAGGAGGCACCATGGCCGGTAAGGTGAAGTGGGTGACAGATATTGAAAAATCAGTGCTCATCAACAACTTTGAGAAAAGGGAATGGATCCAAGTTACAGAAAACGAAGACTGGAATTTCTACTGGTAGGTTTTTGTTCTACAGAACCCCTGAGAACACTATGCTCTTAAAGATTCATGCGAATAGGCAGTAGTTGAAGTACATAAAAGTACCAAATCCACAATGTGAAACTATTCAATTACAGGTAAAGGTCCTGCATTCAAAATCCAACTACAAAGTAGCAAACTGTGTCCAAAGTACTTATTCGACAGCACAGTGCCCCCAGTTAACAGCTTGTTATTACACAGTATATTGCATTTAGGTGACAATCTTAACTACTTTTTCAGTATTCAGTTAGGTAGTTTATTCCAGTGGTTCTGAAGCTAAGGGTTGTGAAATGATTACTATGGCATGATAGAAGTTGTACTATACAGATTTACAATTTAGAATTTTTTTTCTAATCTTTTGCTTCATAAACAAATATATAGTGGACAACTGTACCTCTTTGGGCCTTTAACAGAGACATATATGTGGTTAAGTGTAAATGAAAGTGTCTTAAATCTCATCTGGATTGTGATTGGTTACAAAACCCTTGAAATGACAAGTATAACTGGGGATATACCAACAGATAACCATTCACACTCACATTCACACAGTGTGTAAATTTACATTCTCCAATAGGATGTTTTATTTATTATATTTTATGTAAATAAGTATTATGCCAAATCCTAATTGGCGATGTAATGACAGATGTCAGATAAACATGGAGGACATAAAATGTGCAATATTTCCCTCTGAAATGTAGTGAAGGTAAAAAGTTGCATAAAATGAAAATACTCATGCAAAGTATAAGAACCTCAAAACTATACTTAAGTACAGACCTTATATATCTCAGTTAATGTGTAATGATTAGACCCCCCTCCCCCCAAGCTTCATATTGTTATATCATATTTAGATCACCGGAATACAGGTTCATTTGTATCCACATGTAGGATGAGTATCCAGACCATCAGGAATGTGTTCAGTGTGGACACTGGCTACCGCCTGTCAGATGACCAGGTGGTGAACCACTTCCCCAACCACTACGAACTGACAAGGAAGGACCTGATGATCAAGAACATCAAGCGCTACCGCAAGGAGCTGGAGAAGGAAGGCAGCCCGCTGGCAGAGAAGGACGAGAACGGAAAATACCTTTATCTAGGTATCTATCGGAGTGAAAGGATAAGTGAAGAAATATACAAACACTTCATCACAAAACATGGAGAGGCATGCTGTTTGCTGTGACAAAGCTGATTATGTTTGACTTTTTCCCATGTTTCGTGCAGATTTTGTCCCTGTGACATTCATGCTCCCGGCTGATTATAATCTATTTGTAGAGGAGTTTCGTAAGAATCCATCGAACACATGGATCATGAAGCCCTGTGGGAAGGCGCAGGGAAAAGGCATCTTCCTCATCAACAAACTATCCCAGATCAAAAAGTGGTCCAGAGACAGCCGCACCTCCTCGTGAGTTACCAGCGACATCCTCGTAACACTACTGCAGATAAGAAAACCATCTAGTGATTTTCCTTTGAGTAAATTTTTTTGTATTTTTCCTCTCTATATAATGGAAAACAAACCGAAAAGCACCTATCATAGCCTTGTTCTTAGTGACTCCCAGCAAAATAACCAAAGCTGCTAATGATCAGTGTTATAAAACATTAGTTTGAGAGATTGTGATTTTCCCCCAGGTTTGTAGCCGCATCTAGTGGCAAGGAAGCATATGTCATCTCCCTTTACATCGACAATCCTCTGCTGATAGGAGGGAAGAAGTTTGACCTGCGTCTTTATGTTTTGGTGACCACCTATCGGCCTCTGAAATGCTACATGTGAGCCCTGGCTACAAGCAGTTCTTCAGTAATATTAACTAATGTCTGCATATTATCACAAACGTCAGGTCTGTCATAGATTTTTGCTGAAATTGAACCAAGTTTTGTTAAAAATTACACAGGAAAGATTGTGGTAATTCATTAATAATAGTTATGTGTTTGAATATTATATAAATGTTTTGTACAACCTGTATCTTACTTATAGATCTCACTCTGATGTTTGGCTCTCAGGTATAAGCTGGGCTTCTGTAGGTTCTGCACAGTCAAGTACACACCAAGTACAAGTGAACTGGACAACATGTTTGTTCACCTCACAAATGTCGCCATCCAAAAACATGGGGTGAGTCTGTGTCCTGTCTGTGTGGCCTGTAGGGCTACATAAGGTGTTGATATTTGTTATAGAATATTTCATATAATAAAAAGCACAATCATTGTTATTAGAATGAGGTGTTAAAAATCTGCCTTAGTATCAGTAGTACTGGATATTAAAGGGGTATTCCACCAATTTATTATTGCACTTCCCTAAAGCTAGCAATTTCACAAAACAGCAGAGGCCACAATATTCTGACTTTTTAAATAATTTAATTTTGGGGGGCATCTTTGCCTTTGTTAGGTATATATAAAAGTAAACCACTGAGAGGAAATGGGGAGACGGATTGAAAGAATTGCAACATAGGTTGATGGTCAGACTCAATCCACTGATATCACACACGCTGTACCTGGTGGGCTGCATCATAACCATTCGCCTATAAAGACACCCAATAGTCTGACTATTAGTATGGGTCACTCTCTAAAAACGCCATTTTTACACTTCCCATAATGCGACTCAGTGGTCATTAGACTTTCTTCACCTGGTAGATGGTCATATCTTTCCAGTTCCCCACTCCCAGTTAGTAACACAGGCTTCTGTACTAGCTGTTTTCACAGACTGCGTAGTACTCCTCATTACTGATGTTCATGTGTGACGTTGGTGGAGTGCCCCTTTAAACTGAAGCAAGATTTCTGTTGGCTACATTTATAGTTTCACAAAATAATATTCCTCTCAATACTGTTCCTCTCAAAGCGGATCTGTTCATGTTTTTACAACAGAACCCCATAAAAAAAGAAGCAAAAATTACATTATGTAGTTAGATTGTGTACCTTTAACGCAGGATGACTACAACCATGTCCATGGAGGCAAGTGGACGGTCGGTAACCTCCGTTTGTACCTAGAGAGCACCAGAGGGAAGGAGGTGACCAGTCGAGTGTTTGACCAGATCCACTGGATTGTGGTGCAGTCTCTGAAAGCTGTGGCTGTAAGTGGGCATATTTATCAAGTCTTTTTACACCGATTGTCCAAAATATGTGACTGTTACTCTTACATGCTGACTGACATCACAGAAATAGAAGAATATTAGAAGTATGAGCAAATTATGGGACTCATGCACACTGGATATGTTGAGTATCTTGAATGTTTCATAAATATAAGGTTAGAGAAGGAAAAAATAGCTCTGCTTGCTAAATAACCTTCAGTGGTGGAAGAAATGCTCAGATCCTCTAGTTTAGTAAAAGCAGCAATACCACTGTGTAAAAATACTGTTACAAGTAAAAAAAGAAGAGTAAAAGCACACAAATATTAGCAACAGTATACTATGTAAAGTACCAAAAGTAAACATGCTCATTATGCAGAATGGCCCAGTTCAAAATAATAAACATATTGTTGGATTAAAATGACTGGTGTGTTAAGTATCACTTTAATGTTGCAGCTGGTAAAGGTGGGAGAAATGTTACTGTATCTGGTCTATAAACTCCTGGGTTAGTTATATGTAATGAAATGTAGTAACAGTCATTTGTTTTTTGGCTTTTAATAATCTACAGAGTCTTCAGATAAATGTGGTGGAGGAAAAAGTACAATGTTTGTAACACAGCATCTTTTTGAAATTAATTCTATACTTAGAAACTTTTAATCTGACAAAGTAACATGTAACTATATGTCCCAAGTAAATGTATTGTTTTGTACCTCAAAATAGTACTTACAGTAGTGGGGTAAATGTACTGAGTTACATTCCACCCCTACCTACTGACCTGTTTACAGCTCTCGTGCTTCAGCTGCATACAGTACAAAAACCACTAAACCACAGTGGCTATGTTTTACTTTGTTTCTCTTGAGGGGCTGTTTTTAGTGCTGGGCTGTCAGTGATTGCAGCAGGCTAACACTTTTCAACCCACAGCTGTAACACTACTTCCATGTGGGGATGTCTCAACTAAAATGACTTAAGTAAATGCACGCTTCCCTTTTCTACAAAGCAGTCTGATCATGTGACCTTTAAGGCTTTGCCACACAGGCTGCTTTGTGTGCTAATAGTTAAGTCCGCTGGTATTTGCTAACATCCTTCCCTGCTGAATCACTCCCTGATGCATTAAAAATTCCCAACATATCACAACACTCTTTGGTTACATTTGTCTTCCTAATTCAGTTTCTGTCTTCTTTCTCCCAGCCTGTGATGAACAATGACAAGCATTGTTTTGAATGTTACGGGTATGACATCATTATTGATGACAAGCTCAAGCCATGGCTTATTGAGGTGAGTAATTCAGCGTTATTACATACCTGCACATCTAAAAATTCACATTAAAAGGGGGCTAATAGGATACAAATTACTCTCAAACACTTGTTTTCATAGCATAGTTCCAGCAGCTACATATTTGACCAAGCCCAGAGATATTTAACATGCTTGCACAGTGACTTCACATTGCTTTCCTTTTATTACTGAGTCACTTTAAATGCCCTTGAGGTTGATCTTTGTATGTATATGTTTGGACATGTGCTTCGGCTTATTTAAATGTGTGCTGAAGGTGTGTCTTTCACTGATCCACCGCATTATTCCAGCTGAAAAACACTGCTGAAAAAAGAAAGGAAACTGAGTGTGTACCAAGCAATACAGGCTGATATTTGCTGGCTGGTCTTTACTTTAAAATAGCATGCTTTTGTCATTATTGTATTGTGTCTTTTTTGTGCTTGTTATGTATCTTGAACTGTGCTCATTTTGACAGCGGTGCACAGACTTGCTGGGTTTCCAGGCTAGGTCAGACCTATTTCTGTTCACAGATACCAGTCTAATCTATTTTGGTCGATGCCAAGGTGGTTGTAGGGCATAAATGCTCTTCAGGGACAAACCGAAAAAACATGTGCCACAAACCTAGTAGACTTGCTTTTACCAACTGTTCCTGCAAACTTCTATGTTTTGGTTACACCGTAGGTATGTATGCATGTAGCCAAGTCTCATTAATGCATAAGATAACATAATTCTTTGTATATTTTGTATTGTCTTATAATGGAAGTAAGTGTGTGTTTTGATATAACAATGATTGTTTCATCTTTCTGTGGACACCCATGATACTCGGGTGTGTATCTAGTGTTCCTCTTTGAATATGTTTCTGAGCACAGCTGTTATTGTACATTAGCAGCTGCATTTCCTGATAAGAGCTTCTATTTGGGGCGAGGAGGCAATGAAAGGGAGTTTTTCCTCCCTGCTGTCACCAAGTGCTTGCTCAATGGGGATTTGTTGGGTTTTCCTCTGTAATAATAGTGATAATAGTAAGGTCTAGACCTTTAATAGTAAGGTCTAGACCTTACTCCGTAAAGTGTTCTGAGATGACCTTTGTTGTGATTTGGCGCTATACAAATAAAAATTGAATTTGAAACAATGTGCTCATGCTTCTTTGGATACCATAATACAGTATGAACCTGTGACTTGTTGCTATGAACCTAAATATTATTGTTTATTCCAAACTGGATCTTTTTAACTATAAATGTAATTTTCTGGATCTGTGTGCTCCTCAGGTCAATGCTTCTCCTTCGTTGACGTCCAGCACAGCGAACGACCGCATCCTGAAGTACAACCTCATCAATGACACCCTCAACATTGTCACGCCCAACGGGGAGATCCCAGACTGCCGCTGGAACTGCAGCACACCCCGAGAAGCACTGGGCAACTATCAAGTCCTGTAATTCACACTCAAATCTACCACTCACATTCACACACACATGTAGCAACTGAAAATAAGAGTTAAAAGTGAACCTTCTACAATTACAAGGCTTGAGCACTTTTTAATTTTTGATAGCTCAGTGGACAGAACGGAGGACTGTCATTGGGTGTTCAGTCATCCTTAGGTTGAAGTCCAGCTTGAAGGACCGGCTTTTTAACCAGTTCGTAGCAATCAGCAGAATTCACTAACATATCCAGAAGGTGTAAAATGCCACTATACTCCTTCAGAACTGCTAGTTACATGGTGGGATAGAGACAGTGGTCTCTGTCACAGCCTTCATGTTTGACCCTTCAGTTCTAAACATGACAGATGTTTAAGTGATTTACTCGGCACAGTGAATTGTTTAGTGTTGCTTCTTGTCTCATTTGAAAATAAATCACTCATGAGCACATATTTCAGCAAGATGTTTATTTTTGGAAGAAGTCGACACAGAGCAGAGTTTTTTGCATTTCTTATCTTTGAGGCAGATGCTGCAACTTTTCTAAAATGTTAGGGGGGCATCAGACCCTGAAGTTTAATGAGAGGTCAGTGACAGGGTATCTTTCCCACTCCCAAGTATAAATGAACATACACCCCTCAAGTAGGGCTGGGCGATATGGCAAAAAAAAAAATTTCCCTTCTTCGGAATAGTGATGGTAGATCAAGGTGTGTTGCTTGAATATAACGTTGCGAAAAAAAAAGTCCTTCTCCCATTCCACATGTAATGTTTTCGGTTTCTTACTTGATTGGGCTCCTCCACTCATTTTATACCCTTTAGTAGAAATTAATTCGAAGGCTGACAAGGTAGTTCGCTCACTGGAGTTTTGCAGTAGCTCGTGTGGTTGACTGTGCATGCTTGGTGACTCGTGTATCAGAAAAGACAAGATCTCAGACTGGTTGCCCTGCATGTCAACCAAGTAGCAAATGCCATAGGGAGGATAGATGATAGGCTATATGTGAATGATTGTCACTTTATACTTTTCCAGTTAGGGGTTGCCACAACAAATCATCACGCTGACCATTTGCATTTTTTTTTCATTTGGCACGTGTTTTACACCGGATACATCTAATTTATTTTTGAATGGCACGCAATCTACCAACACTACCTTTGCGATCGACATATTGGACACCCCTGATCTAGACCATCTCAGACCAGGTCTGAATCCAAACACTTGGACTTACCAAATCTGGACTAGATTGTAAAGATTATTTACAACATAGTTTCAGATTTGTGTTGTTCTGAGTCTCTCTGCACCTACTGGCAGCATGCCTCTGTTTGAGGTGCTGCATTAAATTGGTCGTACTGCTACCTTTGGTAGCAACAGACTTTAAACACACTTTGCAGCGGGGTGTTGTTTGTTCTGCATCTGACACGGCAAAACCGAACCAATTCCATATTACTGATGACACTGTGCCTTTTTTCTGAACAAGTTCTTCCCTGCTCGCTGCCATGCTATCTCTATGGCAAACGCGCGGGGGGTGGGCTGAGCCCACTCGGAACTACGGGAGCTGAGAGGGGAGCGTCGGCGGATGTTAAAGATAAAACCGATTTTCATTCAACCAAACTGATGTAAACTACACATTCGAATTAATCTATAAAATTGATTTATCGATTTATTTATCGCCCAGCCCTACCCTCAAGGGCAAAGCACATCACACCCTCCTCTGGACTGGATCAGTCTTCTCTGTAGGATTTTATCCTACTATTAACATCATGTCTTTTCTTCTTGTGCAAGAACATGACACAGTATCACAAACTGTGCCTGCTCACAGCAGCGACCAGGTCAAATACTTGTGGCTGTGTCTGCCTTTGGTTGTCCTGAGGTTCTGCAGGGGGATCTTACCTGTCATAGGCGAACCAGTCTTCCTTACCTGCCTGTTTATTTAAGCCTTCATTAGTTTTTCAACCTCTCTATTTATGTCATGTTGAACCATGTCCTGTGTTCCTGCATGCTGTACAAAAACACAAGTCACACTGTGTCCTCGCACACTGTGCCTGCTTACAGTGGCATCAAGGTCAAGTACTCGTGGCTGTGCCTGCCTTAGGTAGGTAGGTAGGTAGGTACTTTATTGATCCCACAGTGGGGAAATTTCTGTGTTACAGCAGCAATAGAGAACAACCAACATAACACCATAAGAACAGACACCACCATAAGAACAGGACTTCATAGAAACACGGGAAAGAACACAACGAGGACACAGCTGCTGTAACTTGCTGCCACTCCGCACGGCGCACACTTAGGTAAATACGTAGTAACAAAGAACACTTAGTCTTAAAATA